ACTCCTAAAGCCCAATATGAAGATTATTTTATATATCAAACTGATTGGACTAAGGGATGCCAAGATAGCTGGTAAAACGTTGTTTCTAAGTGTGTCTATGCATTAGTTCCCTTTTCACCACTGGTATAAAATACCTACAACTTCAAGGAGGAACTTCTTGTCTCATGGTTTCGTAGGGTTCAGTCCATGGTTGGCTAGCTCCAATGCAGAAACAGCATAGTGGAAGGGTCTGAAAGAGGAAACCTGCTAAATGCATAACACTCAGGAAGCAGAGAGAAGGGAGGAGCCAGGGACAAGAATACAGCCTGTTAGGTCACACCCTCAGTGACTTGCCTCTTCCATCCAGTCCCATCTGCTAACAGCATACTCTGCTAGGAACTCAGTGGATTAGCCCACTGATGAGTAGCGCCCCGCAATCCAGTCACTTGTCAAAAGCCCCACCTCCAAACACATGAAACTTGGGGGGATGTTTTAGCTCTTGGTCATAATAGTCTATGATAATAACTCCAGAAGATATTAATATTTGGATCATTAGACTGAATGAAAAAAACTTGCCTTCAACATTGTGAATGGGCACCATTCAATCCGTGGAAGGCCTACTTGAACAGAAGAGAAAGTGCAGCAAATACAAGCTCACTCCTTCCAAGCTGGTCATCCATCTTCTCTTGCCCTGGAACATAGTACCGCTGGGCCTCAGCCCTTTGGATTCAGGATGAACTACACTGCCAGCTCGCTGGTTCTCCATGGACTGTAGTACCTTCTGGTGTCCACAACCTCACAAGCTAATACCTGCAATAAATATTTACACCAACATAGACACAGATATAGGTTATTGGTTCTGTTTCCTTAAAGAACCTTATATAATATACCAATGATATTAAAATGTGTGTGTGTGTGTGTGTGTGTGTGTGTGTGTGTGTGTGTGTGTGTGTGTAAATTAGAACAAGACCTATTACAAGCTTAACTGAAAACTCATCACAATTTTCAACATACTATTTGGGCTGTACATACCCTGACAACTCAAACTAGGAGATAGTTTATATAATTGTCTTTAGATAAGTTCTTAATATTAAGTTAAAGCAAAAAAAGAGGTATTGTTTATAGTACAAAATGACAGAAAACCTAAATATTTTTAAGGCTGAATTTTTTTTTTTTTTTTTTTTTT